CTGTTTACAATAGCAAAGACCTGGAACCAACCCAAATGCCCATCAATGATAGACTGGACAGGGAAAATGTGGCACATATATACCATGGAATATTATGCAGCCATCAAAAACTATGAGTTCATGTCCTTTTTACGGACATGGATGAACCTGGAAACCACCATTCTCAGCAAACTGACACAAGAACAGAAAATCAAACATCACATGTTCTCACTCATAGGTGAGGGTTGAACAATGAGAACACGTGGACACAGGGAGGGGAGCATCACACACTGGGGTCTGTCAGGGGAAAATAGGGGAGGGACAGAAGGGGGTGCAGAGTTGGGGAGAGATAGCATGGGGAGAAATGCCAGATATAGGTGATGAGGAGGAAGGCAGCAAATCACACTGCCATTTGTGTACCTATGCAACATTCTTGCATGTTCTTCACATGTACCCCCAAACCTAAAATGCAATAAATAAATAAGAAATAACGAAAGAACTTTCATATTTGAATCAGATCACTGATTTTCAGTAGAAGTCTTAGGAGTACAGACCATGCCTACAGAATCCCTATTCTAAAAGACAAACCCGATCCAGTTACTCCCCAGTATACAATTCTACAGTGGCATTCTACTGCCTTTAGAGTAAGATCTAAATCCCTTTCTTAACCTGGTCCCCCAAAGAAGGACCTGCACAATGCGGCTCCTGCCCACGTTTTAGCTCTCAACTCCCACCCCACCATGCCCTCCACTGCAGCAGCAACCTTCCTGGGGGTTCTCTGGCATGCCACGCCCTTGCTGACCTCCAGGCTTTTATCCATGCAGCTGTCTGAAATGTCCTTTGCACCCTTTTTCTCCCAAGCATTCCTTCTGCTTGGCAAAAAAAAAGTAACAAGCATTTGGTACTTAGGGTCTCTTTCAAGACCCATCTCAAGGGTCACATGACTTTCTACTCCCAAAGGTGAGTGAGGGGCCATCTCTCTATATTCCCATGACACTGGGTAATAAACACTATCACAATGCTCACCACACTGTAAAATCACCTTTGCTGGCATTCCCATCACAATCTTTGCTGTAACTCATCGGGGACCCACCAACCGAGTATTTAAAACATTTCAACTTCAATATCATAGAAAAGCTGTCTTAATTTTAGGCCACAGTGCACCAAACATCCGGCTGGAATTTCAGTATTTCCAATAAATACCTTGGGGAAGTCCTCAGAATGGAGAGTATCATGCCTAAGACGAAATTCAGGTACGTGCTTTTCAGGTGTGTGCATGGCGACATGTGTACACACGCACACGCAAACACACACACGAGTAAAGCTCCAGGCTAAGGAAAAGAAATAGGCTTCATGATAGGAGAAACATATTTAAAAAGGAAAGCGATATGCTAATATTTAGCTTTGTTTTTTTTCCCTTGTATAATAGAATGTCAGTCTTTTCTTGTACCAACTTAGAACCAAGTTTCCTGAGCTAAAACGCTGCTGCACTTTTTTATGTCTAAAATGTGGGTGGGAGGTGGGGAGGTTGCTTGGGGAATACCAAGGGGCATTGCAATTTCAGTTGATTACTTATTGGCTATTAACATATTAAGGTTCCAAATGAAATAGTCCACCTCTGTGTTCTAGGAGGAGTTAGTCTGGTGTTTGGAGGAACAAATCACTCCTTGTTCCATTTCCCATAACACAATATTCATTCTAAGTACACCTTTGAGAGCCTGAGTTATTTTATTGCGTTTGGAAAATTGAAGTCACCGTAATCTTCCAGGAAAGTCAAGAGTGAAGGGGAGAGTATCTCACAAACTACAACAACATGGTGCCAACAATGCTGTGCGTCTGTAGCCAGGCCTAGGGCCCAGACAGTGCAGTCCTCTCCATGGGCTGCGCTGGGCTTATGTGTTTCATCGAGTGCAGGATGAGATCACCAACAGGTTTCAGGCAAGGGAGTGAAATGATTTGACAAGAATTTTTAAAGATTGCTGTGGGTCCCAAGTGATGAGAGGAATAGAAGAAAAGGGGAAGCAGTCAGGGTAGCCCGTCAAAAGGCTTTGGCAGTCAGTCACCTTGGCAAAAGATAATGTTGGCTTGGACTTGGGGGTGGATGTGGGAGGGCCATGGATGAACTCAAGATCTACTTAAGGAGAGGCATCATTAGGACTTGGTGCTTTGGAGGAAGAGAAAGGCGAATATTAACAGTTGACTTCCCAGTTTCTGGCTTGACAAAGTGAGTTAACAACTATGCACTTTAATAAGATGGGGGAAGGGAGGAGACCTAGAAAAGGACTACGACAGAAGCAGACCAAGAGTTAAAATCTGAACACAGTAAGCTTGAGGTACCCCTGAGATACCAAGTTTGCTAACTGCTACAAAGGGTGCAAGAATGCTATAGAACACAGAGGAGTCCTGGGGCCAGCCTCAGAGGTGACCCGTGCCCATCCTCTCATGGTGCTCAGAGATCCTGCCACTATGCCAGTTCAAGGTGGGCACAACCACTGAGGAGCACCTGGGACCACACTCCGCCAGGACACCTGTGGGTAGCCTCGATAAGGATCCTCACTAATGTAGATCCAGCTATGGGATTAAGAAAACAATAACCTTAACAGTAAAATAGTGCTTACATCATGCCACAACTGGAAGTAAAATGTGCAGCCTGATGTTTCCTTCAGTTAAAAGCATCACAATAGGCTTGCAGATTCCTCGATACTGATGTTTCAGATTCCCAGCAAAAGGTTATTGGCATATGGTCTTAGGCCCCAGTGCTTACACTATGGGGAGTACCAACCTGCTTGGGGGATTCCAGGTTAGAGTTTCCCATAGGAAAATGTTAATCTAAGAGAGTATCAGAGGAAGGTTTCTCAACGTAAAAAGACCATAGAGGATGGCCTGTTTCAGGAAAACAACAATTCACTGAAATCATATCATGCTCTTAAGTTAATAGCCCCCCTTCTAGAATAGAAGATGTTTTTTTACTACGATGGTTCTATTTTCCCATTTCCCCATCAAAGGGCAAATCAAAATGTCACTTGACAATCCGCTCTTTCGTTAAAAGTTGAGCCATTTTTTAAAAAACACATTTAACTAAACAATTCCACATGGCAATAAAGCACTGTGCTCCACTTCCTTGATTGATAGAAACCATTTGCAATTATTTAAAAGAGAAGGAAGGGAAAAAAACATCATCAGATACAGCTGAATTAAGCTGATCAAACCCATTAGTGTCTTCCAGTTTACTCAGAGTAAGACAATGCAGCATTCATATAAACTAATTAAATTTCTTGTATATAAATTAGCCTTAACAAAAACAAAACTTTCAAGACTGACTGGAAGGTCTCAAGAGGAACGTATCTGCTTTTTCAAGAAAGTTGCCTGGCTGAGGGGTGGAGAGAGCACCAGGGTCAGACTCTCAACAGATCAAGACTCCCCTCCTTCAAAGGAACACTGAGGGTGGGGAGGAGAGGGAAGAGACTGTTTTGTGAGTCTGGTAGTTTGCCATGGCTTTCAAAGGGAAGGACCAAGATGGGATGGAGTGGGAAAAACTGAACCCCATTCACACCAGCTCCTGACCTTACGCAATACATTAAGTTTCTGAGCTTATTTCCTGACTTTGAAATGCGAAGTTACCACTTGCCTCTGCCTGCTTCCCAGGACTAGCGGGAGAAGAAAATCTGCTGTGTGTCAAAGCACCTTGCAAAAGAGAAAGCACTCTACCAATGTGAGAGACAAGTGCTGGTTACTGTTAGGCAGAAAGGGTAAGGCAAGTCTTCCAAGATGATGGTGACCAACTAAACTGATTTTTTTTTGAGAACTGTCAATTGATTACTTATTTTGTCAAGTATACTTGATTTGCACACTTGCCAAGTCTCACAGGATTCAACCACTTGGATAATTTTTTTATTAATAACAGGATATACATATTAAAAGCCTCACACTGAAGCCCAAATCACACATCCAACCCAGACAACAATGTGCAAATGAATATGCAAAACAATCTCTGGAAATGTGTGTTTCCAGGATCACCCACATCTATGCTTTGTCCCTCTGGCTGTGATGTATGAACTGACAAAATTAATAAGAAACTTCTCTGAGGTCTTCAGCAGATACAGTAAACAGTTTGAGAAAAGGAACCTGCTGACTCGTAAACTGAAAGGACAAAGGTTGGGGGCAGGGAGGTGGGTTAAGACATAAGGTCACTGAGTGAAGCAGTTGAGAGCTTGGTACAGATGGAGAAGGTAATCCACCAGCAGCAGATAGGAGGGGCCACAACCCCCATTCACACCCTCCGCAAGGGGGCGGAAGCAGGTGAGGAGCCCTGCTCTGGTGACCACTGGCTTCAGGCTCTACCTGTCACCTCCCTCCCCACTTCTGGATTCCAGCTCTTAACATGGGCAAAAAAAATCAGATACAAAAGTTTTGCTATTAGCTTTTCACCAATTCAGGAATCTGGATTCAATGCTCAAAGATCAGAATGTATTTAAGAATGCTTTCTAATACAGACCCAGTAAGGGAGGCATGTTGGGGGTACGATGTGGGTCCACACAGGAGCAGGCCTCTCGTGGGGAGTCCCTTCACGAGTCATTCGACAAACGTTTATGGGGAACCGACCATGACCCAGGCACAATTCAGATGTGCCCTCGAGGAGCTTACTGGGGAAAATACAATAACAGGCCACGAGAATAAAGTGGAAGTAAGTACCATGATGGGGGTGGTATCATGAACCTCTACCCAACCAGCCAGGAGAGAGGAAGGGTGAGGCCATCAGAGGAAGGGCAAACAAGAACATAAATGTCACAGGAAGGACAAAGTGCCGTGGGCGTTCAACAGCAGGAGAAATCACCAGCCCAGAGGAGATCCTCCGCAAAGGAGACAGGTGGCATTTGATAAAGAACTTGAGGGATGAGGAGGAACTTGGCCAGGCAGAGAGAAGGGGTAAAATATTACACACAAAACTGGGCATACAGGAGGAATGACAGGGATGGTGACCTCTCCCCAGACATGAATTTCCCTTCTAAGAGCATTTTTACCTTTTCTTCAACTTCAAGAATTGTTGCTTGAATAATTTCAGTAAACTGATTTCCAGTACAGGTGACTTGAGTTATTCCTGTTGAGAAATTAGAAGAAAGGGTATAATAGGTGATGGGGGAACCCCTCCACAGACTTCTTTTTTGAGACACCCCCCACCCACCGGCCCCTCAGCCCATGCTGAGAGCAGTCACACGGTTCCCCTCTCACAACTGGCTTAGGGATGGACACTTGTCACCACCCTGCTCCAAAGGGGCAGACAGACACACAGATACCCTGGCACATATATGATGGGCAGGACCACATAGCCCCTGAGTTAGAGGGGCCTTCCCAGTCCTGTCCCAAACAGGCAGTCAAGCTTTGCTCCCTGTATTCCTGGGATTCCTACAGCAAACTCTCTGCTAACTTAAGCTGCCATCAAAGCATGGCTGTTCCCTGCAATCAAAAATCACTGATTTTAATGAGGGATACAGGGTTGGGACTAGAAAAAGAAATCAAAGTAGAAGGTGAAGGAACAAAGGCTTTTGAACCAAAGCCTTGAGAAAAATAAAAGATGATGAGAAAGTGACCCAGGCATCTGAACTACTATCCCATACCATCAGAGGGGAAAGGAAGAGAGATGTGTGAGAGCCACAAAGGACAGCCAACAAATTAACTAAAAACCTCAATGGCATTAAATGTTAAAGTGGAAGCCCAGATACTGGGGGAAGGAGGCTTTTAATATGGGTATTACCCATAAAGCAAAATAAGAGTTTCACTGAAAGTAAAAAGGTGGGAGACTCCAAAAAGTTGTCTATAACAAGCCAGACATAATTGAGTAATGGTACAATGCCTATCATTACTAAAATATGTACAGTCACTCAAAGATAAATCTTGGTTTACTGTGATTTTTGTTTTGTTTCAGACAAACATTTCACCTACTCAGGGTGTGGTCGTGGTAGATCAGCAATCAGTGCTGAGTTCAGCTGCGCTTTCTCTTCTGGTCTTGCCTGGCTTATGTATGTGGCTACAAGCATCTGGTTGCTCCACTGGGCCAGATGGTCTCAGATGACTGTTGATGTTAGTGGTTGGTACTGGCTGCTGTGCTGCCTTTATATTCTCTTTCAGTAAATGTAAACAGTTGTTGTCTTTTTAAATGTATGCTCAACCTCTATCTAGCCATATTTTTCCATTAGTTCCTGAGTTGGGCAATCATGAACTTACCTACTATGGAGATTTAAGAAACTAACCTCTATAGCTTCTTCTATTAGGGAGCACTGATTTTGGGGAAGTTCAGAGATTAAGGTATATAAAAGGGAGGGAGGGAGGCAGAACTGAAAAGGGGAAGGGAGTTGGTTATTCGGGAGTCATGAATGCCAAGTAAAGGAGTTTGGACTTTATCAAAGCAGCATGTAGTCTAGTCTCCAATCTCTAAGAAATAACTACCATTCTGAAAATATGGGAAGTTAAAATTGGGCTCCAGAGGGAAAATATGACCTGAGTTAGAGGGTCTACAAAGACAGAAGCAGTCAGCTGGAAACTAAGTCATCAGTAAACTGTGATGTCTACCCTTGAAAGGGTTCTTTGCCTGCTGCTGTTGGTTCAGTAGCTGCACCAAAGGCTCTACCAATTTGCCCTGGTTTCTGGGCCTTCTGAGCAGCTTGTTGCTCCAGGGGCTCACTGCAGCATCAGCTTTCACCGGGCAGGATACAGAACAATAACGGCAATACTGGTTGGCCTCAGAACAGGCTGAAGGGCAACTCTGCTGTCTCCTCTCCCCAGATCTGGCCCTGTCTAAACATTCCAAGCAGCAGAAGCACCTGCTGCTCGTCCCACACCTACAGCACTACTTCTCTCTGGGCCTCAGTTTCTTCATTCACAAAATGATGGAGACTATATCAGTGGTATTCAAAGGGGGTTCTGCAAACCAGTGCCAACTCTGTTGCTGGGTCTTGACCAGATAAGTATAGAAATTGGAAGTGCTAAGAAGCTTTTACAGCAATATGATGTTGCTACAGAGCCAAGCGCATAATCAGCGCAACTGTCTTGGACAGGGCACAGACTAGTATACGAGTTTCCTGAGGCTGCCATAATTATCACTGGATGGCTTAAGAAATGCATTAGTTGTGAAGGTCAGAAGTCTGAAATGAAGGAACAAGCAATGCCACACTCCCTCTGGAAGCTGTAGGTGAGAACTAGTTTGTTGCCACTTCTAGGTTCTGGTGGCTTGGCATACCCTGGCTTGTGGCCACATCATTCTGACCTCTGCCTCCATCTTGGCAGACGCCTTCTCCTTTTGGCACACTGCCTTCTCCTCTCTGTCAAATCTCCCTCTGCTTCTCTCTTATAAGAATATTTGTGATGGCATTTAGGGCCTATCAAATAATCCAGGATGATCTCATCTCAAGATCCTTACTCAGTCACATCTGCAAAACTCCTTTTTCCAACTAAGGTAACATTTATAAGTTCCAGGGATGTTCTAATATAAGCCCATCTTTGGGGCCACCACTTAGCCAACTAGAACAGGTTTGGGTACTGTTGAATTTGTGCGTGACTGGCTACACATGGTGTATACTGTACATTTCCACTGGGGAAACACAGCCACCCTATGTTTCTGAATAGCCTGAACAGCAGAGACTAGATGACCTCTAATGCAGCAAATTCTCTTGAGTATACACACTCGGAACCCCTGCTATGCCTCTATAGCCCAGACTGCAATGGGCACCTGCTAGGAAAGGAGAGCAGGCAGCAGGTGACCTGGGGGACAAAGTGCAGATGAAGACTGTTCCCCCAGCTTTTCCCAGGGTTGATCTCCCAGGTAATCTGGCGAACAATGCAGGAGCTACCCCTTCCCACCCTATACTCCTGTCCCTCATATGGTCTTAGTTGTAAAGTGATTAATCTGTTTTCTATTCACATGTACTTCCCTCACCCCATCAAATGCTCAGTTTTAAATGTCCACATTTGAGAACAGAAGCAAAATTATGGTATTGAAGGCCCTATAAACCTAGCATTACCCTGGTACTAATATCTTTTCCCCCAACACTCCTCCCCCTAACCCCAAAACACCCAGCAAATTTCCAGGCTTCATAACAGAATGGAGAAGGCACTTGGTGACTTCACAAAGCAAGGATTTCATTTTGCATTAGAAGTTTCCTTGCATGGTCAGAATACTCCTTACCAAATGAACCTCAACGTGTAGAGTCCCTACACTGTTCCATTTCAGCCTTAAAGGGCAGACTATGTCAAAGTACCTGAGAGTACTGAAAATGATAACATGTGATAATAGGTATGGCCATAATAAAAGAGGTATGCTCACCATTCAGCCTTCTGGAAAGCAATTTAACAAATTCTTATTAAGTGGCTTAAAACTGTACACACCCTTTGACACTGGAATTCCATTTCCAGAACTTTACACTAAGGAATAAAGTGGAACAAAACTTAATGCTACAGGGCAACATCATACCTGAGATAAAAAATGAAAAAGAAACTTATCCAACAAAAGGATAGATTAGACAAATTATGGCAGATTCATGTAAAAACTCTTATGCAGCCATTAAAATGACATGACAAAGAACTGTTAATAAAAATAACAACTATAATAATAACAGCTACTCCTTACACAGGCCAGCCACTAATCTGAGCTTTTTAAGTGTTTTGTATATATTAATCTTCATAATTTGTATACCAACTCAAGGAGGTAGGTACTATTATTCCCGTTTTACAGATCAGAAAACAGAGGTATTAAGAGTTTAAGAACTTGCTAAAGAGATGGCACTAGGATTAGATCCCATACAGTCTGGCTCCAGGGCCCATAGTCTTAAACCCTCTGGAAGGCTAAATAATGACCCCAGAGATGTCAGGTCCTGTATCAGTCCATTTTCACACTGCTGATAAAAACATACCCGATTGGGTAATTTATAAACAAAGAGAGATTTAATGAACTCAGAGTTCCATTGTGAGGCCTCTCCAACCATGGTGGAAGGCTAAAGTCACACCTCGCATGGTGGCAGACAACAGAGAATGAGAGCCCAGTGACAGGGGATTCCCCTTATAAAACCATCAGCTCTTGTGAGACTTATTCACCACCACAAGAACAGTGTGGGGAAAATTGCCCCCATCATTCAATTATCTCCCACCAGATCCCTCCTAGAATCCATGGGAATTGTGAGAGCTACAGTTCAAGGTGAGTGGGTAGGGACACAGCCAAACCATATCAGGTCCCAACCCTGAAACCTGGAAATGTTATAAGCAAAAATGGTCTTTGTAGATGTGATTAAGTCAAGAATTAGGAGATAAAGCTGTATTCTTGATTACCTGGATTGGACCTAAATTCACATGTCCTTATAGGAAAGGTAGATTTCTCACACACACACACACACACACACACACACGCACTGTAAAAACTGAGGCAGATATACGAATGACAAGACCACATGCCAAGGAATGCTGGCAGCACCAGAGGCTGGAAGAGCAAAGAGTGGAACAGTTTTGCCCCTAGAATCTGTGCACATGGAGCATGGTTCTGCTTATACCTTGATTTCAGACGTCTGGCCTCCAAAACTATGAGAATAAATTTGTTATTTTAAGCCACTCCATTTGTGGAAAAGTATTACAGCAGCAACAGGAAACTAATAGAAGTCCATGTTGCTCTCAACACAAGAAAAAGTATTCATATGCTAAATGGAATAGGAAGAAATCAAAATTTATACACAATGATCTTAATTATGTATATAAAAATACATGCAAGTACAAAATGTTTATAGTGATTATCTCTGAAGAAGGATTATGGGTAATTTTCAGCATTATGCCTTCTGCAATTTATCCAAATTTCTACAATTAGTCTGAATTACTTTTTACAAAGAAAAGAAAATTATTTTTAAAGTAGAAGTCCATGATATTTCTGCAACTCTAACTTAATCAAAGAAGATTAGAAATCAAGAGTTCCAAAACTCAATAGGAATTTTCCTAATTCAATCTCAGAGCAACAACAAAAAATTTAGCAACCTGGATACATGCCATTCCCTAAAAGACTGTACACAACTCTTGGTCTCTTGAAAGCCTGCTGGTTTTCAGACTCTGTCAGGAACATGATGGTTT